TTTTTTTTTTTTTTTTAAAGTAATATAACTTTTCAGTGGCTAAAAACAAGACTAGCTCTCATAGTTTTTTCATGCCTTAGTCTTTGGCTATTTATGAAAAAAAGTAATTTTTAAATTGATTGTAGAGAGAGAGGAAGGGGAAGAGAGAGAGAAACATTGATTTGTTCCACTTTATTATACATTCATTGGTTGATATATATAAATATTTTTTAAACATATCTTTATTGATTTCAGAGTAAAGGAGGGGAAGAGAGAGAAATAGAAACATCAGTGATCCGAGAGTCATTGATCGGCTGCCTAGCCCGCAACCCGGGCATGTGTCCTGACCAGGAATCGAACTCCGATCTCCTGGATCCTAGGTAGATGCTCAACCGCTGAGCCACGCCCGGCCAGGTGATTTTTTTTTTTAAATATATCTTTATTGATTTGAGAAAGAGGAAGGGAGAGGGAGAGAGAGAAACATCAATGATGAGAGAGTCATTGGTCAACTGCCTACTGCACACCCCCAACTGGGAATTGAGCCTGCAACCCGGGCATGCGCCCTGACCAGGAACTGAACCGTCATCTCCTGGATCTTAGGTTGATGCTCAACCGCTGAGCCACGCCCAGCCGGGCTCATTGGTTGATTCTTGTATGTACCCTGACTGGGGATCGAACTCACAACCTTGGCATATTGGGATGATACTCTAACCAACTAAGCTACCCGGCCAGGGCATAACAGTAATTTTTTAATAGAATTTTAAATTGTCTTGTTTGAGAAAAAAGCACATGTACCATATGGTCTCTATTCTCTGTTCAAATACTTGTCTAGGCTTTCCACTGACTAGAGGAAAATGATGGAAGTTTCAGGTCTAGTTTCAACCTAACTTTCCCTATGTGTTTGCTCCTATACTCCTTTGTGCAAGGATTTTGCAAGTATCCCATCCAATGGTGGTCAGTCAGAGCTGACTCAGGGAGAACCACAAATTCTGAATCTGACCTTAGACCAATATCTGGAGTTTTCTTTCCTGAGACTGCCCTCTAAATTCCTCTTAGAACCCCCATCTTCCCACAGCTTGAATCAAGACAGTGGGAAAATGTTTTCTTCACAAATGTATTTTGTTTGTTTTGTTATTCTGGACTGTGATATTCTCTTGGAGGAACTACTGCAAATATATTTTAAAGTTTGTGAAATGTTGAATTATCTTGTTAGTTTTTCATAAGCTTTCCCATTCCTGTTATGAGAATAATTTGGGTAATGTTCATTCAGTAGCAAAGAATGTGTTAGTGACTTGGCTGATTTCCTAGGAAGGTTTATATTAAGGCAAAAGCATATTATGCAGGGTTGCTACACAGTACAGTTTAATCTGTCATGTGAGACACTCACTCACGGTTACACAAATGTGTCATTTTCCTTGAGATTTGGAATGTTGGTGCACTACAGACTTGGTTCATAGAGACTAAATAAAGCAGTCACACTGGCCAATTTCTGAATCGAAATAAAAGTTTATATTATACTATAAGAATTCAGTGTAGTTCCTTTCTTACCTTGTTTCAAGTCTTTTGTACAATACACTGTTATCTGTTTTCAGCACAAAAACTATATGAAACCAGCGTTCAGGGAAGAAATCACAACCATGGTAATCAACAATAACTCCACCTTCACTCATTTGGTTTTCTAACTCATCAACTACCTGTAAGAAAGGTGGAGAGAAAAAAAGATGAGTGCTTCTTAAAAAAACTGATGTCAACTCTCCTAATACATTTTTTTAAATGTATATTTTATTAAAAAAATTATACATACTTTATCTTCATCTAAAATGGGACAATCATACTCTTCATCATAGCCATCATATAACTGCCCTGAAAGAGATTTACATTGGCTTGTTAGTGTTTTCTAAGTAACTTTCAGTAACATTCAATTAATTCTAGACTTTAGGAAGGAAAATATATCATTAGTTACTCTTTTTAGAGACAGTGGAGGGCATTAACACAGTAAGTATCACATGGATACTGTGAAAAATACTAATAAGTTAAAATTTTGTCTAGAGGGAAACTTGGATGGCCACATATCTGAAACTGTTTTAGCTATCAAAATTGAAACCAGCCTGGCCAGTGTAGCTCAGTGGGTTAAGTGTCGACCCATGTATCAAGAGGTCCCCCGGTTTGATTCCCTGTCAGGGCACAGGCCTGGGTTTGGGGCTCAATCTCCAGCAGGGGGCGTACAGGAGGCAGCCAATCCATGTTGATGCATGGATGTTTCTGTCTCTCCCTCCCTCTTCCTCTCTCTAAAATCTATAAAACATTTTAAAAAAACAATATAGGGGCTATCATTTATTTAAAAAGTTGAAACCAACTAAATTAATAGCAGCTAATTTCTGAATTTGTGGGGCTTTTAGAAGAGAACAGCATTACTTTTGGTGACCTATGGATTAGTGGGAAGAGGGGGCTCATGGATACAAACACTCACACACATTAAGTTCCAAACTTTGTAGCCAAGGATATGAAACTTTTTGAAAACAGGTTCTCGATTCCAGAAATGAGCCCTTTTGCCATTGAGGTCACATCTTCACAGGGTTTGGGGAAGGAGAGTCAGTATCCAGATGCTCCTGATGAGCAGTATCTTTACTTCTAGATACCCAACATCCCCAAAAGTCAAGGGTTAAATGTCTTATTTCAGAAGGCAAAACAAGAATGATGGACAGTCTAAAGAAGGCAGATTTAAATCTAACAGCATTCCAGGGTACATTTGAGATCTTGCATCCCAGCATATCTTCAGCTTGGTTCAAATAAACTCATAAAAAATAAAAAGATTCCAACAAATCAAAGCTGGCTTTCAAAGTGAGTCTTTCTTACTTCAGCAGGTGAGACATACCAATCCCACCTTCCCCTGAATCCCTAGGAGGTATGTAATAAAGCAGGCTAAGATCATCCTTCTAGCTATCCCTAAGGGCATGCTACAGTCTTCCCATCTCTTCCCCCTTTAATATTTTGGCATAGGTTGAAAGTAGGTTAAAATGAGCATAAGTTCTGAATTGAAAAAAGGGTAGTCCCGAGGGTTAGTGGAAGGCCAGAGGCAGTTGTAACTTTATCTTGTCTGGAGGGTCTCTGGATTGATTCAGGGTACCAGCCACCCACCTCTCCAGCTCCCTAATGTGGCCTTTGTCTCCTTGGGCAGAAACTCTATCAGCCTAGAAAATTAAACTGTCTTGGTGTGGGGAAAACTGGTTAACAATTTAGAAAACAATCTAAATCTTTATGCCACAAACTAGGTGGGTTGAAGTGCTAAGTTCTTAATTACAAAGATAACTAGTAAAAAATTTATATAATCTGTAAAGGAATGATTCGTTTGAGTTTGTGAAGGAATATAATGACTAAAACATGTTAAATCTCTGTTCAATGAAAAATAATGTAACAGAAATGAGTGGGAGAAATATTTTGTAGGACAAAGGACTGAAATGTGGATTATACAAAGACCTTAAAAATCAAGATTAAAAAAAGCTTAATAAGAATTCACACAGGACAGAAAAGAGAGTAAAAATATATGAAAAGCAAGTTGGACTTCCCAGCTATTAAAGAGTGTAAATTAAAATAAGCCTTTATATGCCTGTTATGTTAGTTGAACGTGTACATATATAGTAAATCAACTCTAGAAATGTATTTTAAAAATAACTTGAAAAAGAAAAATCTACCCATTTGGATTTCCTCTATCATTTAATTTTTTCTTTTTTAAAAATATCTTTATTGATTTCAGAGAGAGGAAGGGAGAGGGAGAGAGAGAGATAGAAACATCAATGATGAGAGAACCATTGATCGGCTGCAGCCCACAACCTGGGGATGTGTCCTGACCAGGAATCGAATCCTGATCACCTGTATTGTAGGTCGATGCTCAACCGCTGAGCCACGCCTGGCTGGGCTCTATCATTTAATTTCTAATCATAAAAAGATTGTGATAATTAAGAATGTTCAGTAAGCCCTGGCTCACTGGTTAAGAGTGTCAGACCACCGGGTTTCGGGTTCAATTGCCAGTCAAGGAAATGTACCTGGGTTGTGGGTTCACTCCCCAGCCCCGGTCATGTGGGAGGCAACCAGTCGATGTATCTCTCACATCAATGTTTCTCTCTCTCTCCCCCTTTTCCCCCCCTCCCTTCCACTTTCTTTCAAAAAGCAATGGAAAAAATACCCTCAGGTGAGGATTAACAACAACAAAAATGTTCAAAAAAAATGTTCAATAGTGGAAATAGTTAAATCTTGATATACTAAGTTGATGAAATACTATGTAATTAAATAAAGTTCAAGAAATAAGTATTAGGTAGTTAAAAATACTATGTAGTATAGACTAAATAGCAACATGATAAATGCTTATACGTGGTAAAACAAAAAGAATTCAAGGTTGTCTGAAATAGGGACAAAGATTGGAAGAAAAACAAAAGATGGAAATAAGTAGAATTTGGAGTAGTTTTTCTGTGTATTATTTTTACAGTATTGTTGGTTTTTTTACAGGCCACAAAATCTAAGAATAGCTATAGTTGATTCTGTACTGTGTGGGGAGTCTGCAGTAGATAAATGCTGAGGTTCCTTCATATTTTAAATCCTTGACTCTTTTTAAATTTTTTTTATTTTGAATCCTCACCAGAGGATGTTTTTTATTGACTTGAGAAACATCGATGTGAGAGTGAAACATTGATCAGTTACCTCCTTACACACCCAGACAGGGGATCAAGCTCAAAACCTGGGTATAGCCAGGCTGGTGTGGCAAAGTGGTTGAGCATTGACCTATGATCCAGGAGATTGCAGTTCAATTCCTGGTCAGGGAACATGCCCAGGCTTCGGGCTCCATCCCCAGCAGGGGGCGTGCAGGAGGCAGTGGATCAATGCCTCATCATTGATGTTTCTCACTCTTCCTCTCCCTGAAGTCAATAAAGATGTATTTTTAAAAAAAACAAAAAAACACCTGGGTACAAGCCCTGACTGGGAATTGGTTGAACTCACCACCTTTTGGTGTAAGGGACGACACACCAACCGAGCCACACTGGCCAGGACTAAACCCTTGACTCTTAAAAGACTAGTGAAATCTTCTAAAATATATCCTGTCTAATATACAGACAACTATTTCAGCATTAACTTTTAAAGTCTGTACTGCAATACTGAAATGCAGGATGTTAAATCATGTTAATAATACACTGTACTTTAATAAAATAGTGTAATCCAAGCTTCCAAGCATTCATTTCAAAAGCCATTTTATCAAACACTATGTACCAGTGACTTAGGGGTAATGAAGATGTAATAGTGAACAAAAAAAAACAAGAAAAACAAGTATAGTCCTTACAGAGTTTACAATAAAATGAGAGGGGACAGGTATGCAACTTGGAAATTTTAATATTATGGTTCATGGTGCTATGGGAGCAACAGGAGTGGCACCTATTATGTTAAGAATATAAACAAGGGATATCAGGAAAGTCTTGGAGAGAGTGACTTCTAAGTGGAAAATTGAAGCAGTAAG